TGGTCACCGGGGGGGTGCAGGGGTGCCCGCCCCCGCAGCAGGCGCAGCCCCTCTCCACGGTGAGTGCTGTAACGCGCGCTGGCCAAGTGTTTCTCAAGCATTTTGTTCCAGGTTTGGGAAAGGCAGCTCCGATGTTGAAACAGCAGCCTGCCGCTTCCAGCTGCGAGATTATTTCTGTCATTTGTGGATGTTTGAAGGTGCTTGTGTGCTGCTGCTATGTGGGAAGGGGGAAGGGGACAGGAAGTTTTAAGCTCTAAGCGTGTTATTTGTGAGAATTCATCGCTACTCTTGAGGTGTTGAAATCCTTTGCCAAAAGGGAGATCAGGGCTGCGTGGCTGGGGCAGGTCGAAGCGGGGTTTTAAGGAGCAGCCAGGGGTTCCCTGTAGGCTGTGCTTCCCGGGGGAGGGCATGTGAAACCAGAGCGGGGCAAAGAAAGATTGAAAGTGGTGAGAAAGGGGCTCGGGATTCCTCCTGAGCTGTTACAGCCGCGAGAGGGAGAGTGTGGTGGTGAAAAGTCCAGGTGAGGCAGAGGGCGAGCTGCTGGCGGGGTTTGGTGACGGGGGAAGCGGTTCATCAGCGGCGCGGGAGGGATGCCGTGCTGTCGGTCGAAGATCCACCTGCGTTCGGGCTGTCCCGGGCAGCTCTGGCCGGGCAGAGAGAGCGCTCACGCTGGAAAAGTCAGAGTGGAGCTGCTTCACCTCAGATTTTCACAAAGCCTCCACGGGGTTAACAGCAAACTCCTCTGCAGTGCGAGACTGAAATATTTGACCTATTTTTTTTCTACTTTTAAGGCCCAGTGAAAAAGTTGAGGCGTAATAAGAGCTTCCTACACCTCCAGTTTTTAGAAGGAGGAGGGAGTAGGTGTTCACCTGTGACTTGCTTGCTGCTGCACTTAGTACCTACTAACCGCTTTCTTTCCCCGTACTGGTTTACGTATGTGGCAACTCCTCTGTAGTGAAATAGGCCAGGAGACCCCGGCAGTGATTGCTGGGCCCGTCTGCTTAATCTGCGTAAGCCCGAGCCGTGCACACAGTGTCCAGTTGGCAGCTAAGATAATCAGCCTACAGGCAGTTTAAATGCTCGTTACAGTACATTTTATTCATCAGTATTTAATAAGTAATGATTCTGAAAAGCTTGGAGCGTGGTCTGTGCTCATACCATCTCCTGCTGTGTTCCTGTCAAAAGCAATAAGTTAAACTGGGTTGAATCCGGTCGATTTTTGGATGAATACCCACCAAGGAATTTCTAGATGCTGTAAGAAGTTGCAGTTATTGAATAGGAGGTGCTGTTTTGCTTGACTTAGTTCTACATAGTGGGGAAAAAAAAGAAACAAGACAGGAACGGCTCTGTTCTGGGGGGCTAAGCATGGCTGTCCATGGCTCTCTGCAGCGCAGAGGAGCTGCTGAACTCGGGGTTACTTGTGAAGCTCTTGAGAGTAGTAAAACAACCTTTACTAACAGCGCTCTGGGAGCAGACTGGTCAGCTGCCGCAGATCCAGCCGCTATCCTTCAAAAGCAGATCGGTGCAAGTCTTTTCCGGGAAGAAAACTTTCCCATTATCTCAGCGCTTTGGCAATTTGCATCCTGACTTGTTACTCATCCGGTGAACTTGAGGGGAATCCACAGCTGGTGTGAGAGGATCAGCTGCTCCTACGGCCCCCGGTGCCAGCAGAGCTCTGTGCGAGGAGCGGAGGAAGATGAAGCCTCCGCCTGCCCCCAGGATGTACCTGCTTCTTCCTGGGGAGCAGCCAACAAAAAGAGAGTTGGGTCCTTAATTCTACTGGCTGTTGGACCATAGAACTTGTTATTAACTCCCTTTCTCACCTCACAGACCTGATTTCCTCATGGTCGGGTGATACAGAACAGCCCGAGCGGGTCAATGTCACTCACTGGGGCGTTGCATGGTTTTGCACAGGGCAGGCTGGAACACTTTGAGCACGGGGAAAAACAAAGGGAAGAGCTTTTAATGCTTTTAAATCACAAAGATTAAATTCTTCTATTAGCATCTGCTGGAAATTGCTCATAGAGATTCTGGTGTACGTCACTACGGCACAGGATGGGGTGGAATGATTTGCCATCTCTCCCCGAATTGCTTTGAGCTCCTTCACATTTTCCAAGCAAACAGCAGCACAGAGCTGTGGCGTGTCCGGTGTCACCACCCAGAAACAGACTTGGGCGACAGACTTTGGGGGTTTTATTCAATTACTTTACCCTGCGTGAGCGTTTTATGCATCATTTTAACAGTCTAAGTGATCCCTGAGTACAGAAAACATAAGGGTGCATGAATTATGACGCTTTTGTGCAAGACTACAAGAATGAACGTACGATTCCAGGACTGGCGACGAAAAATAAAAAGAACGTTACAAAACCGATAATGCTTTCACAGCTGCTCCTCGGTTTTCCACTTGGTCGTCACTTTATCAGCAAGATCTTGCTCTGTACTTTCGGACTCGAGGTCTGCTGCAGATCTGGCAGGTCACATCGTTGTTGGGACTGTAAGTTCTGGGCTCACAAACCCCTGTGAAGAGAACAGGGTCAGCGTTTCAGCCGGGGCTGGGACACTCGGGCCGTGCTGCTGCCCTTCCTGGTGCGTGACGGGGAAATCTCATCCCTCCCACGCTTGCGGAGCCCGCTACTCGCCAAATACCCCTGGCACCGGAGCTCCCAGTAGGGGCTGCTGGTGAAATACCTATTAAACCAGCTGAGTTTTCTAGCAGCGCTGCTGTTAAGGTACTGGTTTCTTACTTGCTCTACATCCTGAGCGTAGTCACTCACCACTGACCTGGAAAGAAAAACCCCACTTCACTGCTTCCACTAGCTCTGGCTGGAAACCCAGTTCCGCCTCCGAACGTGCTCACGCACGGAGCCAGCCTGTTTCTGTTCCTACCAGCCTCTTCAACTCTGCGATGTCAATGTCTTTCCAAATCATGGATGGAAATATCCTTGCTTTTGACACTGAGATTTACCAAATACTCCCCAGAGAAACCTGTGATCAGAGCTAATAAGCGACATTTAAATCAATGTATTTTGTATTTACCACAGCAGCCAGCGCAGCCCTGGTGGGTGCTGTTGTTTTTCCCAAAGCCCGGCCGACAGCTGTCGATCTGAAGAGCCGAGAAGCTGTTGTCCACGTAGTGTATCGTGGGAACGGTTTGAAACTCGTGCTTCACAGCGTAGGTCTACTTGCTGAAAAACTCTTCAATTCGATTCCTTGCCTAAAATTCAGAAACGCTGGGAGAGTAAAAGACAGTCAGGTTTTTTTAATTGATTTTTAAAATGTCAGTAAATAGTTTGCAGTCCTGGTTCCTCCCCCACTGACCTGTCACCTCACCTGACCTTTGGCTGTGGGGGCCTGGGATCAGATCCAGGATGGGATCTGACAGCGAGTTTTTATGTTAAAAAGCCAGAGAGAACAGATCTTGAAAATCAGCTACAGGATATTTACTTTAAACTGCATTTCATTCACCAAATCATAAATCAAAGTTTAGAGAACTGGAAATCCAGTATACTAATATTAAGTCCTTATTCTTGAAGTAAATATACAGGAAATAATGAGCCTGATGTTTGTGTCTTGCTTTTTGTTTTTTTTTCAATTTGACTTTTTAAAACAGTTTTCCATGGCCTGAATTATTTGAAATCCGTGAGTCCTCATCCTGTAAAATCTGGGTGACTGTGGATCACCCCCGGTCAAACCTGTAGATGCTAAGGCAGAAATTTGTGTTAAACGGGCAGAGAAGGCCCGAGGGCGGCTGACACAGAACCTCTTCAACTCTTGTGTTTGTGGCATCTTCACAGTTGTGAAGAACCTGGTGGCAAACTTCCTCCCATCCTGGTGCAAAAGGATTAACTATGGGGGAGGAACAAAACAAAACACATGAACACATGTTGAAGAAAATATTACAGCAACCTCAAATGCCTCAGGCAGGCACGCTCAGGTTTGTTGCAGAAAACATGGACAGTAAAATGCGTTTCTGCTTTTAGCATCGTGGGGTGTTCACTTCACCCCATTGTCCTCTCTAGATTTGGCCTCTAATTTGTTGAAGAATGGTAAATTTTTCTCCTCTTTCACCTGCTGCTCTCTGCAGCCCAGATTATGTTTTGAAACGGCGCTTTTGATGAGGTGTGTTGGAATGTTGAAAACTGAGTGACTGGTAAAGAGGAGAAAAAAAAAAAACCCACCCAGATTTGGTCCTGGTGGCTTCTATCCAGTTGCTTAAATCGGTTTGTTCTGGTAAGAGGCAGAGGTTGACCAACAAAATAATGTGGGGAAAACGTGCTTGGCTCACGGGAAGAGCAGGACCAAATCCTTGCGTCGTGCCCTGAGGTTACAGCAAGGGCTGAAGCTTTACATCAGTTTAAAGCGCTGGGGTCCGCAGCTTGTTCTGAATGTTTGACTTTCACCGAGGGGGGGAAACAGGCACAAGCTGTTCCACAACCTCCTGAGTGGCCTCTCTTGGCGTGTGATGGGGACAGATACAGGAGAGAGCGTGGAGAAAGCATTAATGAATAACTTCCTCTACTCGGTGACAAACCATCCCTAAATTAGGGCAGCCGTTAGGGTCGATTTAACCCGTTTTGCAAAGCGATACGGCCGCATCGGTAGTGCCATAAGGGAACAGCGAGGCTCTTGCTTTTAACTTCTGTGTAGTTTACTGGAATCGAGCAAAACCACAGAGACTTATTAAAAATCAAATAATGAAAACCAAGTTTGACTTGACCGTTTTCCTTTTTTTTTTGAGTAAAGAAAATAATGAAATCATGACATCTTATCAGATATCTCCCTTCCACACTGCACCCCTTGAAAAACAAATCTGCTGAGGTTGTAAGAAGTACGACACCGCAATTCAACATATAAACTGCATTTTAGCTCCATCTGTGGGCTAGGAAGAAAAAATACAGGGACGCTGAAAGCAGGGAAGCAACTCCTGCAAATACCCTTGCCTTCAATGTATTTCAGCTGCTGTTTGTAGCACTCTCGGCTTGTTGATAAAAATAAATGATCCCTCCCAAACAAATGCTGAAATCTGTTACCTTGAAAACTAACAAACAGCCGGGGCTGGAGGCGTTGGGTCGGTGTCTGGACAGAGCGGCATTTGTAGGAAGACTCTGTGATTCGACACATCAGGTCCGAGATGAAGTTATTTACAATTTTCTTTAGTTCCTCAAAGAAGCGGTCGTTAGCCGCCAGCTCGCATTCGTTTGTAGTAAAGTGAACAAATATCTGATACGCGTGGTCAGCCTCCCTGTATGCTTTAAGAAAGCAGTTGGTGTGTGAGTTCTGGGGTGTAATGGCAGATTTGATCTTATCCAGAACCTTATCGTCTGCAGTCTGTATCGGTGTACTTGGTGTTGAAATGTGGGCTCTTACTCAAAAGTAAACAAATAAATAAAGCTTACTCATTAACCATAACAGAACAAATTTGCCCTTTTCAGAGCTGACTCGTAACAAGAAGCGTTTTAGTTTGAAATGTGCAGGAATTCATGTGCTCTGCTCCCAAGCATTATAGCAAAGGAGGCAGCCAATAATAAAAAGCAGAACTAGTGTGTCTGCAAAATTGTGGAACCGAAGCGGATTGGGATTATGCAAAATCTTTTTCTTCAAAACTGCGAGGGGGGGGCATATGAGTGTATCAATATAAAAAAATAATTTTCTATTCTGGGATAAAATATTAATTTTTTTTTCTTTTTTTTAATCAAGCCTTGCAACAAATATGCACCTCCCAAACCCACCAAACTACCAAGGCTACCTGCACTGGCTTACTAGTCAGTTAGCAATCTTACCGTATACCCTGAACCTATACGCCTCAAACTCTTCTCTCTCCTCTTGTGTCGTAGGGTCTATCCTTTTGTAAGAACGAGTGCAAGTGTAGGCTCCAGACATGGACTCCTTAAACCCCTTCACCTTCAGCTTTCTGGTTTCTGTTGGATTCCTGTACATTCGCCCTAGAAGAGAAACAGGAAACACTCGATTACTGGAAACGTTCGGTTTCTGATGCTCTGCTCATTTAGATCAGTTGAAGATGAGATCTTGTACATAACGACACTGATTCATTTTAGTCCGAAAAAGCCTAGAATTTATGGTTTTTAGCACTTACTGCAAGTTTCCTTCTGTGTTGCAAGTGTGTGAAAATTTTAGAGGGAGAAGAGAAACGTAGTCTAATGTCAGAGCTCGTGGAAAAATCTGACAAATGACCAAGTGACTAGTTGGACCCACCATCCCACTGCAGAGTGGCATCAACAGGAACAAGGAAAATATGTCATTTCATGCACAGTAACCTACTTAGCCACTTGTGGTTGGCTTTTTCCTTTGTAAATAGAAAACAGAAAGTATTCCTCTATCTCAGCATATTTTCCTGATTGCCTCCCCACCCCCTGAGGCAGAGGCTGTTTCTAAGTTTGTGAAAAAGTACTGTACAAAGCCTGTTTTATTAGTGACGGGGGGAAAAATGGCTAAGGCAGGCGGAGTGGAAATCATTTGTAATAGAACAAAGTGACTAACCTTTTATTTTTTTTCCATCTGGACCAATCCACAAATACTTGGGATCTATCACCTTTTCTTGAGAACGAGACAGATCCATACAGACTAGAACCGGGCTGTTGGTAAACGCCTTAATGTACACGTTAACTGCAGCGTAAGAGGATAAGGTAAGTGATGCGAAATGCTTATATTGAATGAATTCACCAGAATACTCATTTCAAAACTATGTCTAGTGCAATGCAAAGCTTACATTTTTGTGTTTGGACTTGGAAAGTGTACGGTTAATCTTTAATCGCCATTTGCTCTTATTAATATCACGGAACTGTCCACAACGCGGTTGGTGCTGACTCTGCGCAGGAGATGCCCGAGTCCCACACAAACCACAGTGCAGGGGCACAAAAAGCTCCGGATTTTGAGCCTGTGGCTGAACGGGATGTTAAGTTTTCAGAACTGCTATTACTAGCACCATGAGACAAATGTATTTCTAAGCCCACCCACCTCGGTGCCGCGTGCTATCAGGATTGCGTCCTGGAGTCTCCAGCACCATGTTTAGCTGAGCCTGGTTGTGTCACTTCCTTATGAAGCTGTGTCTGCATAATGATGATTTTACTTAATATTCCACTTTAAAAGTCCAGTAAGCCCTAAGTATGCATTTATATATATAAAGACAAGTTTACCTTCCTGTTTGGTGTTGCCGTAAACAAAATTCCTCTTGATTAAATCAATAGGCTGCTCTTCTTCAGGTACAGCTCTTGCTGTGGGGAAAATATTACAGAGAGAAACCTAAACGTGTGATTGTTAGCTGTTTACTACTAGTGAGTTTCTCTCTCCTGGGCTACTTTTCCTTTCTAGCCATGCTCCTTTCTCAAAAACAGGGGCTCCTGCTTGTCGCTGACTTGACAGCTTTGTCTTTGCAAATATGTCTCGGTATACCAGGTTCCAAACTAGCTGAGCCTTTCTCTTTACAAAAAAAATGAGTTATAAAATCTAAGTAGAAAGTAAATCTCTCCACAGTGACCCCAGGGAGCACCAGGCTAGGAGCAACATGGTGATGGTGGGAGGGCACAGAGCCTTTGGGCACCTGCCGGCCTTTTCGGAAGCAGCGGGCAGGGGTTTCTGTCATGAGAGACCACTGGAGGTGCGAAAAAATGTTAGAACTGGTGCTGGTCTGGTCATGGCAGCAGAGGAGGACATGCCGTGGTGGCAGACCACAGAATTGCTTAGTTGGAAAAGACCTTCAGGATCAAGTCCAACCATTAACTGTCAGGCCTAGCACTAAACCCTGTCCCTGAGCACCACATCCATGGGTCTGTTAAATCCCTGCAGGGGTGGTGACTCCACCGCTTCCCCAGGCAGCGTGTTCCCGGGCTTGACAACCCTTTTGGTGAAGAACGGTCTCCTTTTATCCAATCTAAACCTCCCCTGGTGCAACCTGAGGGCATTTCCTCCTATTCTATCAATTGCTATTTGGGCGAAGAGACTGACCCTCCTCACTAGCCCTTCTGTCAGGGAGTGAGGGCTCCCCTCAGCCTCCTCCATCCAACAGCCCCAGCTGCTCCTCAGCACACTTGTTCTCCAGATCTTTCCTCAGCTCCAGCACTTCAACATCTTTCTCAGACTCACAGAATCATAGAATTGCAGACTGGCCTAGGCTGGAAGGGACCCCAGAG